CACAACCGGTTGAGACAATCGGTCGTAATTTAAGCCCAGTTGTAACAAAAATATCCATAATACGCCTACATCTGCATTTCCCACACTACACAAATCCGCCCGAACCGGTCCGACCGACAGAATTTAGATAAAAGAATCACTTCATGAAAGCTCGACGCTTTAATCAAAACAACACAAAACGATTTATGCAAAAACAGCCCCGGCTCGCTTTGTTTTTCAAAAGAAAAGCGCATAAGGCAATTCCACTAAAGACGGCTTTATTAGTAGCCTTAACAAATCGTAAACACCTGAATGGCGTTCGTAAATTCGCAAAGGAATGTTACAACATTATGTATAAGTAGTCGAGAGGTCCGATAAGTGAAATGCGAGAGCTCGGATGGGAATAATTCGATTTTGTCGTCACGAAAACCCAATAACATAAACGCGAAATCGTTGCTCTTACTCGGAAAGACAAGAAAAATGAGATTATTTCGGAGCGCCGGACAAATATTCTCCGTGCCGCGTATTTCCATTCCATATTTCAAATTACCGGCACCGATTTTTTCCGGGATCTTCTCGCCCCGACAAAGGTCAACAGCGGCCACTCCGGAGACCGGAGTCACTTGTTCGAGCCGGCAAAAACTGCTCCGCGAAATTGCATTTACATTTGAAAGGCTGGTGGAAAAGGGAAAAGTTCGGCAGAACTTGGGCGCTGTAGGGTGCCAGCGCTTTGTTAATTTACCTGTGTTTTTACTGTTGACTCGGTTTTTGAACCACGGTTTTTTGATCATGGGGTTGTTAATAATAATAATTGTTGAGTAATATAAAATATTGACAGGAAAAATTTAATAACAACGAGTCACCATAAATATTCAAATCCTGTTGGTTTGACATTTTCACTATAATAAATAACAAATTTTGCTTTGAATTACTTGTCACTAACGACCATGTGAATTTTGACAATAGGAAGTAAGGTAGAGTGAAAAACAACATCTTCACAAGTATCGATTACTAGTTGGCTAGTTTGAGATTATCTGCATACACCAATGGATTACACTGTAGCCGGTTACGTACCTAGTTATATCATTCATAAAAATGGAAAATAATAACACACAAACACAGATCCCTGACAAACACCAGAGATGACATTATAGAAACAAGAACTGTATTCATCTATTTTAACAATTTAGTGGTAATTTGCCCGATGGACTCGAGTACTATACTTCTTTAGATTAGCTCGGGAAGTAAAAACATGCTGAGATGAAGTTATTACGTTTTCAAATGATTCGAATAATTTAAGTAATACTATACATTTAACTTCCTTAACAGATATTTTAAATGAACTAATCGGTCAATAGCTTGTAACATACTGTTTATCATTAAATTTAGTACTTGATTACTTGAGGAAAAAAATAAAGCAAAAATATGTATCAACAATGCTGCTGTATCCAATCCATTCAAACAAAAATTAATCGCTAAATTAATTTAAAACGTGTGGTCTTGTTTCATTTATTCTTATTTAGATTTGTGACTCTTGTATCGATAATAAAATTACCAACATTTGACCATTCCACTTGGTTCGCCTACTACGATTTAGAATCCAATCACACATCCAATTAACAATGAATTCCAATTACAAAGTGAGGTTATGTTAGCATAAACGAACTAATAATGGAATGAATGTACACATGGTAGATCTCTAATTTTTATTTAATAAATAATAACAAACAAATGAAATAAACTACAACAATTATTCCTTCAAAATAGTTGCTAAACGTGATCACCATTGACTTACAGGCACGTCGCAACGCATCTCATCATATTATCAAAAGCATGCATTAGGGTCACAGGGGTAAGACTGCTGCACTTGTTTCTAATTTTAATTTTTAGTTTTTCAATAGTACGGATAGGTTCCCTAAAAACTTTTCTAGCTGTATGTGCAGTCGGTTAAAAGAGCAACCAAAAAAATCAAACCCGTCACGGTCGTCTCATGGTCTCTCGGACGGCGGCTCCTCACTGGATTGGGCTGCTTCGGATCCTGGGGAGGCGACGACGCTGAAACGGGAATCGAAGTGGTTACAAAAAAAAATTGAATTTCTTCTTAACCGTAACAAGATTTATATCAGCGTCTTTAGTGCGGAAGCCTCGGGCAATTTGATACTACACTTGCACTCATCCCATTTGACTTTAAGATGTTTTTTAGTTTTGGTGAAATTTCTTGCGTATCGTTGCATACCGAGAGGCAAAACGACTCCCCACCGAAGCCGTGTACTCCTTGTATAAATTCCATTAAGCAGAAGATAACAATGCCGAACAAGACTACTCTCATGTACATACTTTGATTACACATTGCGCAAACAAAATAATTTCTCCCCCCGGCGATGGTACAGGAGAGAAATAAACGTTGGTAATAATGCCTTATGAAATATATAGCACGTTTGGCCCGTTTTCCGCCCGGAGGTATTACTTTATCCTCTTAGAAAATCGATGTAAGCAGTTTAAAATTCTTGTTAAACAAGACAGACGGAACTGAGTTTAACGATTCGTGTCGGTATTATTTTAAATATTTAAGACGGGGGTTTTATTTTCTATGGCAACAATTCCATCGGTTTTAATCCGGTGCCGACTTGATGATGAGGCAGTAATGAGGCCCTCAAGACACGAGTGTAATATTTTAATCTCGGGCCTATGGAACGGCTAATGTTTCGCTTGACTTGTTGCTCGAGTTCTGCACTCTTGTGATTATTACACATCCCATTTGCTTGCAGTCGGAATTTCCTGGCCACATCCGAGCTTCAAACTGGATTTGCTTACAAATGTGGAAAATTATGCCACACACTACGTACAAGCTGGTGAGTCGTTAAAACCGCCGCGGGATTAACGGATGCGGCGGAGTTTTCTTGGCGGCCAAAAACGCCGGCGAGGATTCGTGATGTTAACGGAATGGAGATTTACAAAGAAATTTTCCAGTTTGTAGTTGATAATAAAGGGCGTATTTGGAGTTGCTGTAAAAACACCGTATTTTTAATTTCAAATGACCCCACCAAAGGCAATACCAAAGAACTGTTTGTCAAAAAAAAAAACTTATATAACAGGTAGTGTGAATGATTGCTGCGCAGAGAGTTTTCCATCAGTCTATAGAAGCGACGGTGAAAAACACGTCTGAGCAATCAGAAGCCTATTACGAGGAAAATCACTCAGAGTTTGAATAATGGTGCAACATTAACGGAATTAAAAATATTTACCACAAAAAGGTGCTATTTAGATATTTTGACGACCTTTTGAACCAGCGGAAGCTTTCCTCGCTGTAGGTATTATTCAATATACAAACGTTAGGAGGATTTCGTTCAAAAAAATGTAAATCTGTAAAACAACTTTAATCTAAAGTTGTGTTGATTGTAAAGCGTCTATAGCATACAAGATCTAAAAAACGAAGACGATTTCGAAAATAAATTTAATTTTCCGAATTTTATTTATTCTTTATGACAACTCCATAAGATAAAATAACGATAATCAATATGGGAGAAAATCAGTGCATGTTTAACTTCGATTGTTTATGTTTATACATCAAAAGACTGCCACCATTTGCGACGAAACTCTGGTGAATGGCCGGCGCCGGTCTGGAATTTCGCCGATATCGCGTGAGGGTGGCGTGCCTCAGTGCCAAGCCCTGGGCTTACTAATACCGTTGAAAAAAAACACGGCTGGCCGACTTAGACTTATGAAATCACCTTCACGCCACCGGAGATAGCGCTTTCGGTCGGGAGCGGCCGGTGCTCGGGCGCTAACTCTCTCGCCGGGGAGGGAGCACCGGGGTGGCTCTAAATCCGGAGACACAGTGGTCTCGTGAGCGCCCGCGGAAACCAGAAATAAGATGGCGAAATTTTTACAATAATAATCGGGTTTTTATTCCCTACCAGCCACACGACTAAAATAATCTTACGACTAATTCTTAAAAATAAAATTTTAATTCGGTTTGAACTACAAGAAAACAAAAGAACAAAATGTCCAGCACAGTCGTTCGCTCCTGGACGGCAGATTCCTTCGGGACGAGCTCCTCCTGGTCCTGGGGGCGACAACCCTGGAACGGAATATAGAATTTTGTTTTCCATATTCGTCATACTTCAGTCTTTGTCAACTGTACGTTTGGTTGCATATACTTGAACAGGTATCTTGACTTTAATTGAACCGCAATGAAGTACTTTAAAGCGTTATTTCTGAAGCGAATTCCACAGTAATAATTTTCCAATAAAACATATCAGAACTATTTTAAGAATACTAAACATCGAATCATTGTGTTTACAGCAAATTCTAACCAAGAAAGATTATTATTGAATTTGAAAGAATCTATGATGCTCCTGGTACATTACTTGTGAAAGAATTTTAAATAATCTCAAGGGAACGCGGTGTTTCGTTTTTGAAAAAATTGAAAGGATCTCGAACAACCCTGTTTTGCTTTTGAAAGTGCGAGCTGTTTTGTGTTTGTTAGCAAAATTCAGCACTAACTTGACAACCACGTAGAACAATATTAGTATTTAAGAACTGCCGTCTTGTGCTAAATTGATATGCAAAATGTAGGAATAAAAACTGCAACAAATGATTGACAATTTTGCTTTATCATTTTACCACGTGCTGTAAAAATTTTCCAAACATTTGAGCAAAACAAAATAATAATTTGATGACTAAAAAAATTCCAGCCAAGTCTGAAAACTTTTTGAACGTCCACCTAACTAATCACAAATTTCTTAAGAACAATCATCATAAACTTGTAAATGATAAATCTACTCAAACAACTGTTCAGTCCGCAATAATTAGTTTGTATAAAGTTCAGGAATCAATACATAAAAAAACGTATGCGTCAGAAACTACTTCGTTATCTTTCAAGCTATCGAGTGACTTTGTCATAACGGATTTCTAGAAAACTGAAGGAAAACTAGCATTAAAAGTTAAAAAGTAATACGTGAAAAGTTTTCGAAGCACTGTATTTTGAGCTAATGGGCTAAAATGATTTTGTTTTTCAGTTCCAGTGACCCACCTCGAGGTGGTCGCCGGCGAGCCCGTCTACCTGCCCTGCGACATCTCGACCAGCGACGCCAACGACCAAGTGCTGCTGGTGCTGTGGTACAGGGAGGATTTAGGAACACCTATATACAGGTACATCGGCGCCTATTAATATTCCATCAGATGACAACATGCCTGCACAACATCGCTTAATACCTGTAATTCGATGCAAGTACCCATGAACATAAGCATCAGCACTATAATAATTCACTCCGATGCGGGACGATTTGATAATAAACTAACGCGATGCCGTATTTCAGCAGGCATCTCGCTAATAAACGATAACAACTGGTGCATAAACACGTACACATGTTGAACAATTAGCGAAACTCCGGAACACATACTTTTAACTTAATTAGGGAGTTGAGAAAGTCTTAATTGTAAATAATGGAGTTTAATGTAAACTGATGTTACAACGTATAAGACTAGAATAACCAAATGAATTAAATTACAACTTTGGGTCGGCTCTGCCGCGCGACACACGGTTAACCCAATTTTTCACGGGTTTACAACGGCTCCAAAACTAATCGCGTTCCGGAGATAAATTGCCGGAACACATTTTACGAAGATATTCTTTTTTACTTTACACGCGCGAGGCTTAATTTCGTCGAACGAGGGCTTTAATTAAAAAGAACATTATTAAAAAGATGCGAGCGAATTTTCGAGATATTGCCGATATATTTATCGACACGGGAAAAAAATGAACATTTTTTTCCGGCTAATAGGACCGAGCCAGAGAATTTCCAAACAGTGCGTTTTAAAATAAAAGTCAAGGTTCTATTTTCTCATCGTTTCAACGGAATATAGACGTAAGCATTATTGAAAGACTGACGTAATCACGCGCTAAGTCCATCACAATATTAACTTTGTTATTGTTCTTGCGTATTAGGAAAATATTAGGTCTGCTCTTCTATTTCTTCACAAGATATTGCTGCCCCAGTTTTCTTAGAAAAGTTCAACGAAACTTTTAAAAATCTTTACAAAAACAATACGAATCTCGAAAATATTCAGTTAGTCCCAGTCACTTTTTGTCTTTGAAATGTTATACGATTTTAATTAAGAAAAAAAAGCTGTTTAAATTGTACTTTATAAACGCTAGTAATAAACTAAAAAAGTGAAAGTATGAATCACTTATGAAAGCCCTGTAAAATGTACGTACTTTGGCTTTTTTCTATTTTCTACTTTCTCTAATTCAGAACTGTCCCAGAAATTTAACGATTGTGGATGTAATTTTCAATTTCACTAAATGCTCAATTTATGAGGGTCCTGTTATTTGTATAATATACAGAGTTGGAATGTATTAGGTATCCAATTCCCCCAGGAAACCTCCACATACTGTCACCAGACATAAGCTAAGTGTAGCAGACGTACAATTTCTCCAAGAAACACACAAAAACAAGTGCCATACGAACGTACCATGCAGGCGACTTTTAATTGCTCCAGGAAGCCATTATAATTATTTAACAAGAATTAAACAATATATATAAACATTTTTAAGTAGAAACAGGATGTACCCACCAAAAAGGGAAAAAATTTCTACCCCGTTCCCAAAGGCTAAATCTAAGTTTATTTCACTTAGAAAATTTAGCAACTACACTTTCAGCTTAGGTTAACATGAAATTATTTTTAATAATTAATTTACATTCAGTAGCAGTTTCCATCTAATTTAGTTTTTCAAATACTTTTTTGTTTGATTTTTTGCTTGTTGTTTCCTTGTCATGAAAATTTCATACCGCGTAGGATTTTGTTTAATTACCTCCGCGTTATTTAATATGGATGGTCTACTTAAAAAAATAACCATCAGAAAGTAGAAGGTTAAATGCGAAAATAGTACAAAAAGATTCATAAATTACAGCGAAATATTTGTACCTAGAGTTTCTTTATCTTGAAAAAAAGCAAAATCTGAATTAAAGTAACTGGATGTAAATAAACAAGTTACTACAGGCGTGTGGCGGCAAATTTAAAATTATGGCAGTCAACAAGAGCTAAATAAAAATACCCATAAGGGCGTTCTGGCACAAGCGGAGTTTGGGGCTCCGGTCGTGGTTGTTCTCCCCCACGACGGTGATTCTATCTATCGCAAGCCTACCGCAAAGCGCAAGCGGACAAGCCGTACGTGCAGGCCGTTACGTGCGCAAATTTGCAGTTGGATCCCGGCTACCACGAAGCCGACAGCGTAACGTCATCTCGACCGTCCCTGAATTCTATTCTAACCTGCATCTTTGTGCAGATGGCGCGATACATCCCGCCAGCTCGACGAAGAACCGCGCCCTCCGCTTCAGCCACGTTCTCTGTATTATTTACCCTCGATTCTATTTTAAATGTTCAATTTCTATGACTGATGATATTAACGACAACTGAACAAGTCCGGTCATCGTTGCGAGGAAATGCCTCGGTGATGTAATAAATCTTTAACGTTGCGAGGAAATATCTCGGTGATGTAATCAATCTTTAACGTTACGAGGAAATACCGCGGTGATTTAATGATGATAACGATACTAATAACGATGATAACTCCCTAAGGGAGAAATCATTTTAACCCCCGCCAGTTTACGATATAATAAATTTTGTTAACTTAACTGCCGTTAATGAACTATTAGCAATCTTGTGTGAAGAACTAAGAAGTTTTATAATGTAACACTTATGTATTAGCATCCAGAAACTTATTCATAACTTGTAAACAAAGGGTGTTATCCTGACTAAGTGAATTTCATGAAATCTCCTAGTAAGTGTCTGTTTGAACAAATCTAATGTTTGTTAAATTGTGTTACAACCAGTTAACGATTAAAATCCTAACCTAATCGGTGAATTAACAAACAATAAAACAAATTTACAGCACGTGTACGCAAGAATTAGCTACGCGTATTTTGGAAAACTGTGACGTCATTGTTACAATTAATTTTCGTTAAACAGAGGCTTCCTCGCGTTTATTAACTACCAAGCCAACTAATTTAACCTAGCTAACTTACAGCGTCTTGTCACCATACTCACACAATACCGAACCAAACATAGTAATGCTTTCTACTACTACCGCCCTCTAACTAAAGATCCCCTAGCGAGCTACCAACTATCCCCAAGCGCTAACGTGCACACGGTTGCCCATGTTTAACAATTTTTTATATTTAAATTTTTTTTCAAATTCAAATTATTCAAATGTGATTCCACGCCGATGTTAATTAAAATCAGCGCGAAAATTTGATTCAAATTCGGTTACCACAATATACAAGTTGCCAAATTTTCACTTCGCTGTCAATGAACGTCGGTTTAGAAACTTGGATATTAAAATACAAAATCTGCTTAAACTATTTTCACTAACAGCATGTAGCTCCTCAAAAACCAGTTCAAATACTATAGCAATGAAAATCACAAAGCAGGTGACTTTAAAGATTATAAATCTCCCACTGAACATATACTTTACCAGGCTTTTCGAAATTCTCCATTCACATAGTTTGTGAATTGATTGATATATTCACTTGAATGGAAATGTTATATTTTGACCTTTTCTTTCACAATCTTGTTCTTTCAGTTCATAGACCATCTAAATTCGGAGCTACAACTTCAAGTCGTTTTTCTAAATGGCACCACTGTCCCATAACCTTTTCTTTCACAATCTTGTTCTTTCGGTTCATCAACCGTCTAAATTCGGAGCTACAACTTTAAGTCGTTTTTCTAAATGGCACCACTGTCCCATATTCCTCTTTTATTCTTGGAGAGTTCTTCTAATTAATCGATTAATCCTCTCCTACTGATTCGATAAACTCACATCAAACCTATTTGTAGAAACCAGAAAAAAAAAACGCTCCTCCGAAAACCTGATTTTCCGTTGAGTAAATTAACTCCACTTTTTTATAAATTCATGAAACCCGTCTCCAGGAAGTGTTATTCGAACACGCGAGTTCTTACAGCTATAGTTCTTTGTAGACGATTTTCGTTTCCCCTGCGCCATTTTGACACTTTTCCTTGGGCGCAAATCCGTTCCCTTTGAATATTTCAGGAGCGTATTTTTTCGGGCGTTTCTGCGCCCGTTCCTCCAAAGGTAATTACTTGTATGCCAATTAGGGTATAAATCTGTAAGAATTAGCTCGTAAAGCTCTCACAATCCAGGAACGTCAGCCCGACCTGAATACAAAAGCGGCTCCTTCTTGTATACCCACTCCAGCGAAGTTGATGCATTACGCATCGTGCACTGTTGCTATAAATATTAATTTTTCCGGTCTTAAATTCAGATGTGCACTACTTTGTGCTCGCGGCCGACCACTGATTAAACTATAAATTGAGCTCTCGGCGAGCTTTTGCGTTATTATGAGGAGAAGGCTCCGAAATCTGCGCGTGGAAGTTATTTGACGTCTTGACAGGCTTATTAGGAATCGGTAAATATGGAGAAAAATTAAATTTCGGCTTAATCGTGATTTACGCGGACTAAAGGCACTATTATAAAATTACGTGAGGGTTTAATAAAGTTGCCGGAGCGGCTACTCATTTAGGAAGCGCTTTTTCATCCCGGAGGTGTTATGAAAGTTTGCAAAAAAGAATTTTATTTTATTAAATTCAATTTAGACAGTCTCGGCTCGTACGTGCAGGATTTTGGAACGCTTTCTATTTTCTGCGGTTTGGAATTTTATTGACTAAGTTAAACGAGTTCCATTAACCTTAATATAAACATTCACACAACTGGTACCGTTTGGGAAAGTTTTATTTAATGTAGAGTCATTTCCGTATAGTAGAAGCTTGATGGGGAAAGTTTGCAAAGTAAGCCTACAAGTTTGACCACGTACTGCAAAAACTTTCTTCTCTCGTATTGAATAGTCGGAAACATTTGCGACATGCTTTTCACAAAAATGAAAATTGTTGGCTTGCGGTTTCAGTGTATGTTAGCAGCTTTAATATCGGAAATGTAAAAATCTTACGAGCTTTAAAGTTAAAAACAACTTACAAACTAGTGGAAAACGAGTTTCGAGAAACAAAAAGCTCACTATAAAGGAAAATTGCGCTCGGGGGAATTTGCTGCAACGAGGTTTTATGGAACCTTTCAAACTAATTGGCGAAATTATGTAGGTCGAGAGGAACTTAAAGATTTGATGGACGTCACGTAC